TGCACAGCATGTCCGTGGCCATTTGCACATCATGCCTGTAGCCATTTGCACATCATGTCCGTAGCCATTTGCACATCATGTCCGTAGCCATGTGCGTATCATGTCCGTAGCTATACATCATGTCCGAGTCCGAATGTCCGCAGATATTTTCACATCTTGTGTGTAGCCCTTTGCAAGCTGTAGCTAACCTCAGCCATTTCCAATGCCATTTTTGCAGCCATTTTAAGCCGTAACCTTGTGTCGCAGCTTTTTCCGTCCCCGCTTCCGCAGCCTTTGCCGCAGCCTTTGTCGCACCCTTTGTCGCAGCCTTCTCTTTCTGCATATCCATTTGCCAAAGTTTGACCGTATATGCACGTTTGCTTGTTCTTCTGTCACTGTAGCCATTTTGCATGATTGGTCATTGCTGTAGCAATTTTGTGTGATAGCCATTTTGCATGTTTGGGATCCTGACATGTCTCCGCTGTTTGCTGTAGCTATTTTGCTGCTTTCGCTGTAGTCATTTTGACCACTCGTAGCCGTATGCTGTAGTCATTTTGACCACTCGTAGCCGTATGACGCAATTGTTCCACAATTGCAGCCATTTTTGATTTTTTTTTTACATTCTCTGCTGGCCGTCTCTGTTCGAACTTGCTGTTCTGTTTTTCAGCTGCTTTCGTTGCAGTATTTGCTACACAGAAGCGCATCATACGTTATTCCCTTTTAGACCTGTTGCCATTGCTTGCCTCAGTGCATTTTTTCCGCAGGACGTGGCTGCTGCAACTCCACCATCGTCTGCTGAGAAGATTGGAGACAAGAGCCAAGTAGCGACCGTCAAGGCTGCAGCATCTCAAGCCAAGTCAGGTCCACAAGTCCCCATGATGGCTCCACCCATGAGAAAAAGGCTGCTTCTTCTCTAGCATCGCTTTTCCTGTTGCTTCGCTTCATGGTGTAAACGGTTTTCTTGTTTCACTGCCAGGAACATGTCGTTGCTGCTGAGCGCTGCGCCTCCTTGAGCTAGCTGCTGGCTGGCTTGGCTTGCAAGCGATTAAGGTGTGAGGCACGCTTTGAATGATGTCATTGTCAGTTGGCTTTTTCCATGTCACTGTCGATTGGTTCCACGTGTGGCAAGACCTGCAGTTTTCAGAATTCAACATGACCAGCACGCAATGACACTCCATCTTTCTACAGTCTGCAGATCCTTTGGGCTCAATACCTGGTTTTCAGCACCGGCATGAAAGGAGACGATGGCCGGCTGTCCCAGTGGGAGCGCACTGCGATCGACTACTACCTGATGACCAAAGGTGGTGCCAAAGGAGAGGCCACGGGCAAAGGCGATGCTGGGGGTAAAGTTGCTGGGAAAAAAGGCGGTGAAGATGAGAGACCCTATGACAAAGGCAGTGGAAAGGGCACAATGGACAAGGGCTACATGAAGGAAGGGCCGCCTGAACGAGCAAGCTCCGTGGCGCGTGGATCCATGCCGCCTCCGGAGCCACCTGTCAAGGCCAATCCCCCGCGCGCTGCAGCCAGCAAAGCTGTGACCACACCAGGCCCAAGGCCCAAAGCCATGCCAGACTCACAACCGCAAGGACGGGGCTTAGAATGAAAGCTGCTGAGATGTTGCCATTTCTCTGTTGCTTGTTGTTTTTCTGCTGCAGGAGCCTGGGTCTTTGCTTGGATGTGGATGCCCAGGGTTACAGGGAGCATTCCAACGCCATTGCCACCATTGCCGCCTGGAGTACCTAACGCTGCCGTTGAAGTACCCAAAGCTGCCGCTGTAGTACCCAAAGCTGCCTCTGCACCGCCGCCAAGCAGCGACTACTCCAGTGAGGTGGGGATGCCTCTTCCTTTTCTTTTGCCGTTTCCAGCCATGCACCATTGTTCAGGACGAAGAAGTGGCGGTGGAGGAGGAGCCGCACGCCCCTGATGGAAGCCTCTGTGCCAGTGCCCGTGCCTGCTCTGCATTTTTTGTGCTGTTCAGTCACTTCCATTAATATAATTGGGTTCAGCGCGGCCGGAGTTGCCACGCACAGGTGCCGAGAGCCATGCTGAGAGCCATCACGCTGACTCTGTGCCTTCCGCTCCTGCAGCTGTGGAATCTAGTGCCGAGCATGCCCGCCGCAGACGCCGCTGCCGATCCCGTCGCAGAGACCGTGAAGACCATGCTTCCAGGCATCGCCGCCGACGATGAGGGAGTTGCAGCCCAATGTGGCCTTTGGATTTTTTAAACCTTTGCGGGCACACGACACGTGCTGCCACGTGCGCAAGCTGCGCAGCGAGCATCTGACATCTGCTGCTGCTTGGAAAAAATCACGCTCTAGCAGACTAGCACTTTTGCAAACGCCAACTTCACCACTGAGCATGGCTACACCCCCCTTGTTGCTGTAACCCTGGGAGGCCCTGTGCATGGTGAAGCGCAAATTTGCGGCTTTGCGCTGTGCTGCGGCTGCCCCGACTGGATTATTAGCTGATGTGCAGCGGCTGCCGTGCGTTGCATCAGGTCTTCAAGGGGCTGCTTTTTCTGGTCGCCGTAGACGTTTTGCTGTCATGTTTGTCCCGGCTTCCTGCAGTGAGTGTAGGTTATGCAATGCTCCCTCTATATTGCATGACCAATGCCGCTGCTGTTTCGCAAACATGAATTCATGATCAATGGGAACACAGTATACAATCTAGACACATCATGCCGTTGTGACTCTTTTCTTCACTGCATTGCTCTTTGTCATTGGCAGCTCTGCCGACATGCGCTGTGCCGATGGAAGAGCACCTGGACCGATTGGTATGTTGCCTCCTGGGCATTGGCTGTCCAAAGGCGCGGCAAAAGAATCAAACATGCGATTTTTTCTCGCGGGGCTACAATTCCCACACTTTGGGCTATGCTGGTATATATATATATATACACATATAAATACGTACGCATATACATAAAGGACAGCTATACAGATGGATATATCCATAAAGATGATCTTCCAGGTTGGACTGTTGGACCGTTGGATCGGGTCATCCGCAGGATCCCTGTGGAGGTTATTGACATGCTCTCGAATCTTACAGTGCCAGTGCCGTGGCATCGGCCAACTGGGTCCTCCCAGTGTGGACCTCGCCACCAAGGATCTTTACTGGGGAAATATGAGGAGAAATATGGAGAAATCATGAGAAATCGAAAGTCGGAGAATTTCCAATGGCTGCCTGGGATATCAGTTGGATGATTTGATGAGTGACTTCACATAACGTCTCCGGGAAACGGGGCCACATTGCCTCCCTATCGTTTGGGTTGAGGTGGACCCTGTGTCAGGAAGGTCCCCTGTATCCCAGGTGATCTCAGCCTCGTCTCCGAAAAAACTTTGGAGCACGGTGATGGGCTCAGGTATTGATGGCTGAGAAGTGCTCCACTTCCTTACTGTAGCTTATTCTATGATTGTATGCATTGTAATGTCTAGTTATGATAATCCCAATGGTGGGAAGTTTAATAGCGGGTAACACATTCAATGTGTTGATGGTTTTATTTTATTGTAAATGCTTCCAGCATTTCTGCACAACCCCTTTTGGGGGTTGCGCCATGTATTCCCAGGTTCTGGGTTACAAATATATTTTATCATATTTTATTATACAGATAATTATGAATACTCATATATTAATCAACCGATTTTGGGTAAATGGAGGGAGCGAACCGCTCCGTGCCTCGCAACTTCAATGCACACCTCCATTTAACTAAAAATTGGTTTAGGACACCCCCCAGCGGATTAGATTGCTTGGTTGCTGGATATTATAAGGGTTGGTTGAACCGGTAACCTCCCTATCTAATCCGCGACAATATTTTTTTCGGGGTTATGATAATTTTTTGGAATTGTAATGACCCCCCAAAGGATGGATTGCCCAATTCAAGGAATGTTGATGCCTGAATTGCCCTATCCATCCAAAACCACAAAAGGGGATAATCACTGACATAAAATCTAAGAGACCTGAGTTTCATGAAAACCTGGGGCCTGAGTTTCATGAAAACCTGGGGCCTGAGTTTCATGAAAATGAAATAGTGAAGTTCTTGCGCAGGATGAAAACCTGGGGTCTGAGTTTCATGAGAAAGGAAAAAAGGAGAACAAAGAAGAAGAAAGGGAACGGAGAAAGGGAAAGGAGAAAGGGAAGGGGCAGGAGAAAGGGTCAGGAGAAAGGAGAAAGGAAAAAAGGAGAACAAAGAAGAATAAAGGGAACGGAGAAAGGGAAAGGAGAAAGGGAAGGGGACAGGAGAAAAGGAAAGGGGAAGGAGAAAGGATCAGGAGAAAGGAGAGAGGAAAAAAGGAGAACAAAGAAGAAAGGGAACGGAGAAAGGGAAAGGAGAAAGGGAAGGGGACAGAAGAAAAGGAAAGGGGAAGGAGAAAGGATCAGGAGAAAGGAGAGAGGAAAAAAGGAGAACAAAGAAGAAAGGGAAGGGGACAGGAGAAAAGGAAAGGGGCAGGAGAAAGGGTCAG